TTTGGTTCCTTTGAGTGCACATAGTGAAGTAACAGCCTACATATGCATTAGATTTATTTAATAATAATTATTAAATATAATTATTATAATAATATTAATTTCTTTCTATACTTCCCACTCAGGAAAAGTAGTTATACCTTGGCATTGGAGTAGGTCAATGAGTTTATCATTTTTTCTACAATTTTAGCTCAGCATCTATAGCTTTGATGCCAAAGCTGGGCTACCAGTTAAAAATGGTTACAATYTGCATAGGAGACTAACTTTTATTGAGGATAAATCTTCAGAGAATCAATTCATGAGTCATCCTGATGTATTATTTATTTATATTATTTTTCTTCAAGGAATTGTCTACAATTCTGTCATTTTAAAGTCGTTAAAAAAAAGTGAAATGTTAATTGTTGTATACCTCTGTTTCTGTCATTTCAGCRATCATTTCATCTTCTTTAAATATTCTGATATCAAAATCCTCAGAACCAACAAGAAGCTGATAATAAGAAAAAGAGATTTTGTATTTCATAAGACATWGTTATTGAACAAACTCTGGGGATAATTTACAGTATTTTATCTGTGAAAAAAGTTGCACTTAATTCATAAAAAAAGTCTGGAGATTTTATACTCAGTTGTATGGCAAATTGTTTTATGGATATAGTGAATGCACTGTACTATGCAATCTTCATGGTAAAATAATTACATATGTACCTCAGTTTGTCCATCACCATTAAAGTCACACAAAGCCAATGAACAAACATTATCACCTGTCACCTGGTACGACAATTTCAAAATAATACATTAAAAGATATTTAAGCCAATAATGTTTTAAACAAAGGGGCAGTAAGGCCAAAGTCACTAACACACATTATATAGCAACATTATCCTGGATTGGTCGCATAGTGATACAAATGATGGTAATCGAACATACCGTCCAGAATTCATCATTGCCGTCCATATCAAAGCCTTGTATGGAACAGTTTCCACCAACAAACGCTAATGGGTTGTCATATTCACCAAGTTGACCAACRATGATAGAATTGACACCATCTGCTACCTGGAAAAAATGATCAAACTAACATTAGCCCATTGTATTCTGTGGTTGTGGTTCAAGGGTTTTTCCTGTAAAGCCTGGTATCCAACATAATCATTATGATTGCTGGGTTCACCTGAATCAGTCACTGGAATCAACTTGGATTCTTTCAGTGATYTTGGCATCTACAAGGAAACCCTCTCCAGTAATTCTGATCATAAARTTGTTAAAACTTACATCTCTATAAAATAAGTCAGAATTATTTTCAACATCATAGGCCAGTAGATTAGTTGGTGTTCCAACTAGCAGTGTATCACAGCTTGTTGAAGTCAGGCTCCCAACAGCAATGGCTGAAACTTGTTGATTGATGTTCAGTAAACTGATGTCATTATCATTGCTCACTGTTGCYCTTCCWCCCATCTTGCTGCCCGTATGAGGGTTGTGGATAAAAACCTAGTTAAGGAAATACAAAATGATGTACTGCACGCTTTATAGATCGGAGCGATTATAGAATACATGTAGGCATAAAGGTAMAAGGATTTCTGATACTACTATCGACTTTAATATCTTTTTCGCAAACCTTTCCTGCAGTTGTAGCGCCCGTCAAACATGGATGAATGCCATCGTATTTACCAACAGCTGTAGTTCTTGGATGAATTTTGTGGCCAAGTTTTAGCGTGAAAATTGGAACCAACATTGTGAAATCAAGAGGAATAATCAAGGCTTTCCTCTCAGATCGATACAATAACGATCAGTTGTAGTTTAGTATTTTATTTTATACATTTTCCAGTGATAAATTTTGACAACATTGACTTTGAAAGCTTCTTTTGCTGACATGGAAACCAAAKGTAGGTTGCGCATGTTGTCTCGAAGAAAACAGCTGGTTAGACACAGGAAGCCCACCTGTCCAGTGATCAATACAGAATTTATCAAAATTTATAATTATTTACAAAATTTCTAGGGATACTACTAGTATGAGTTACAGAAAAGCTGTTTGGGCTTCTTTGATGCAAACCTATAAATATAAAGATAATTTATGCTAAAATTCTGGAAAGTTTGTTTTAATTTCAAATAAATATTTGATAAATTTATAATTCATATCAAAGTTCAAAAGGGGTAAGAATAAAAAATAAGAAATTATTAATTGACGCTGATTGTTTAGCTAGTCATGCAAAGCATGCAGATATGACGAAAAGTAATATACTCGCTATATAATATTTCATCCTCATGAATATTTCACCATCAAAGGCCAAGGACAAAGAAAAAGTAAAATCATTGAAAGTTGATTGATTGCAACACGTGCGATTATTTCTGCAACCAGGATGTATTTGACAAATATTCCTGGTTCTTTATTGTTCTTGGATCAGTTCAAAACAAATACCGAATAATCCCCAAAAATCTTGGAAGAAACGAGTTACTTTAATTTTTTTTTAGTACTAAATGTTTTCTTGATGTAGTATTCGTTATTTTGCTCAAAAATATTTTAGAAAATATTGATATATTCGCGAAATGAAAGCGCGCAATATTTCAAAAGGAAACAATAGACTTCCACTCACGCGTAAAATAACAGGATGGTTTGAATTTCAATGAACCAATCAAATCCCTCGTGACGTCAAACTTAGCCAATCAGCGTCGAGTGCATATGGCGGACTATTTGAAGTGATGATGGGATCAACTATCAAGTCGCGACAATAAATCCTGAACTTTTATGAAGATTGCGCGCTTTGGGGATTTTGATGCTGGAAATCTAAACGCCTAGTCTTCGAAATGGCAACTGGGTACCTTTACAGGTTAGTGCTATGTACTTAATACTTCAATAGATCAAAATTTTGACTTGAAAGTGTGTAGTTTTGTGATGTTGTGGGGTGGTGATTGCGCGATTCTTGGTATTCGTCAGTCTCCCCGCCATTTTTACCACCGAGTAACCTCGTGTTTACGGACTAATTCTCTCTTGATCTTTATTTGTGTTCTCTTATTTAGTGTTTCTTAGCTAAAAGTAGTCTTAGGAACTTTGTAGACCAAAGATTTTTCGTAATTTTCGCGATCATGGTGTTTGCTAGTGTTGGATGTATTTGTCAGGCGAGGCCACGAAATCGACATATGCTCGGCTAAATTATTATCAAAAATTCTAGGCCCTGATCTCGTCCTAAAATATACTTAAGTAAAGATTATAAGATCTAATGAAGTATAAAGTACATATTTTGAGGTATTTGGCAAATTATGTGCTTGAATTGTGGCCAGTTATGAATAAAAGTATTTATTTATTATTCCGCGCAAACACTCGTAGTTACGAAGCAGTCACGGCCAGTCGAGGCCGATCGAGAACATAAGCTGAAATATCGTCGAACAAACTTTATTCCGATGTCGAGATTTTACTTTCTACATGACTTTCTAGTCTTCGAAGGACACGAGGATACATTTTTATATTTATTCGTAATTTTATTAAGACGTCATTAGACATATTGAAGACTGTAAATGAACATCCGGGGAATCTTTACGTGTGCTAACACGTGCAAATCCCTCAATGCTGCTGTGCGTCGCGTCTGGTTTTTGCTCACAACACGGATCGCATTGTACCTATTGCCAATTTATGAAGTAGTTTACAATATTAGAATGAAAATCGGCCCATCTCGACGAGATGTTGCTTTTACTTAAGGCTGCTGAGTCCGTTGCTGCGAAGTAAGTGTACGATCTTCGTCTAGAATCGCTGAAGTTTGCGGCTTTGCGTTTTGATGCCATCTCACGTTGGCAATCAGAGACTGCGAACTCGAGAGCTTAGGGGTCAAACAAAACCGATCTAGTTATTTACTGCGTGGTCAAAATCTTGGTTTCTCTAACTGTACTTTTATTTCGCAGTGATTACAGCTTCAAAAGCGATGATGAAGAAAACGATGTCGTAGAACGAAGCTACCGCAGAAAGAAAAAAATCAACAAGGGCCGATGGACCAAAGAGGAGGTACATGTAAACTAAACGCTCTCTAACAGAGGCCAGCACCGTTAATCAATACTCTATTACACCTAAAAACTTCTAAGCTTAATGACATACTCTGCTGAAATCTTCCAAAGAACATCAAGCCCATAGATTACAAAGTAGTAGTTGTTGATTGGAGTAAATGTTGCTGGTTGTGAATGTGTGGAAAATTTGTTTTGTGTCTGAGGTTTCAGCCGCGCATAACGACAGAAAATGATTTTTTAATTTCTTATCTCTGGGGCTCAATAACAACTCCCAATGCTCCAGATCTTGTAAGTTGTGCTTCCGAGTCATTTTATCCGCGATCGGATGCTCTAGAAGCCAAAGACTGCTCTTTTCGGTTCTGGTTTGCATGAATTGAATCGTATTTGCGTAAAGCTTCGAGGCTCATATTTGAATCTCGAATGTCCGTTAGAAGGGGTCTGATGGCTATATATAGGCAAACGCGCTTAGTGGAGAAAATGTAGATTAATTTGTTTTTTAGATGCGCGCAGATAATCTAAAAAGACGAACAAGATCAGTGAAGGCGTCTATGAAGAACAACGTGTTTAAAGGGCTAAAGAACGATTGATCGGCGAAATGTACAAAATGGAAATGAATGTAAATTATTTTTTTAAAACAATGGCCGATGTTGTCTCTGAAGCGTTCCTGTCAACGCTATTGAATATGCTTGATTATATAGTTTCTGTGATGCGGATCGGTGCAAAATTACTATTTCAGATAAACATTTCCATTTCTTGGAGCTGTGTTCTGTGTTTTCAGTGCAGTTCATTCCAGAACCACTGACCCTGGGTTAGCGTGTGGAATGCTTACGTAGAGCGTTGGATTTATAATGATTGTTCCAAGGGCTGTTGTTTGGATAGTTGCTATTGGATAAAAACAAGGAGTTGATTAATATTTTGTATAAGCTATGCCATATAAAAACTGTATTCGAACTGCAACAGTATGGCACAATAGTTTTTATGTGGAGAGATGTGATTGGAGTTGTTTTATACACTTCAAAGGTCAAGCTTAAAAGCAGTGCCTGTTTTGTAAAGTAATGAATTAGTGTTTTGCATAAATTATGAGATCAACTTCAATCAAGCATTTCTTATTTCCTAAGAGTTTTTTTTCTTGCATGTGTATATATTTTTTGTATCAAAGAAAATTATATTCAGTGTGTATAAAGTAAAGCTTTCTCAACCTAATAAGAGATTGCATGCTTTTCGCAAACTGGTTTTGCATTTATGAATTTAGGGAGAACTAACAACTAAAAGCATTTGATATGAAAAGATTTCTAATTGAAGCTTGAGGCAATTTTAAAAACCTCCAAAGCCAAATTGCAAGGATCTCATTTCCTCTTTGAAGCAATTCCAAATTCTGTTGCCAAGGAGATTGGCATATTATTATGGTTGTTATCATTATAGATTGCCATGTATTCAGTCATCAGTTAATAAAACTAAAATTTGTTAAATGACTGTTGCAAATTCTGAAATGTGGCATTTGTTGAGAGACTGATAAAAAGAAAAGTGAGTTCTTACATTATTTCACACCATGCAATGCATGGTTTTAGTCAGCTGCCCCATAACTTTCTTATCTACATGTATAGTATTTAACTATTATGTACTGCATTTTCTGTTAATTGTCCAAACCAAAATCACACATTTAAATGATAAACATTTAGATTAGTTCTACCTCTGATCAAGTTTGTATCTTTGAAAACAAAAAACAGTGCTTGTTTTTCTGTTAAATTTATTTTGATATTAAATCATATTGTATTCAATTTAGGATGAAAAGCTTAAGACACTTGCTGGTGATTATGGACCAAGCGACTGGAAAGAACTAGCTGCTAAGTTCCCTGACCGCACTGATACACAATGTCAGCAAAGATGGCATAAAGTACTTAATCCTGAACTAATAAAAGGACCTTGGACCAAAGAGGTACAAATCTTACAAGTATTTTGTATTTCAGAATTTATCCACTATGCTAAGTACAGTAATTGTTATTTTAAAACACAGGAAGATGAAAAGGTTGTGGAACTTGTCCATAAGTATGGCCCCAAGAAATGGTCTCTTATTGCTCAGCATTTAAAAGGTCGTATTGGCAAGCAGTGTCGTGAAAGGTATGGTACATATATGAACTTTTACATTTGGAATTTTCCACAAAGCTTCATTGGAATTGGATTATTGTTTTCAAAGAAGTATGCAAGCTTTCTTAGTATTGCTCAGGAAAAGTTGAACCTGGGGTCAAGTCAAACAAGTTTTAAAAGAAAGAGTCATGAAAGTACAGTGTGAGAGGTTATTTTCTACTATATAAAATTATGTCTTAATTGTAATTCTGATAATAATTTATTGTTTTCAGATGGCACAATCACCTTAATCCAAATATCAAGAAAAGTGCATGGACTGAGGAGGAAGACAGGCTGATTTATGAAGCACATAAAAAGATGGGAAACAAGTGGGCTGAGATTGCAAAAGTCATCCCAGGAAGGTACATGTACAACAATTAAAGTTTTTTCATTAGTTACATACAATACAACGTATACTAGTCAATTGATATTATTGCTTTGTTTCGAACAGACATGTACTGCATGATATAACTCACAGATAGGACTATTAAAAATATGTTTTCTTTTTAGGACTGACAATGCAATAAAAAACCACTGGAATTCTACGATGAGAAGACGTGTGGAATCATTTGGTTATGATCATTACAAGAAAAACAGATATGCTGTAAGTATTGCATCAAGTAATTAAAGCATATGTCACATTTGAAACCTGGTCTGTAGTTGTTTGCTTAAAAAAGCATTCTCATTCTAGGGAGAAAAAGGCAGACATGGAAGACCTTCTTCAACCAAGAAAGGTACAATGTGCATTTGTACAAGATGCATTTGTATCATGTACTGTAATTTTCTGTTTTTTTTTTCTTTGTAAGTGTAGTATAGGATGTTGTAAAAATATTGTCCAATATTTTATAGTTTCAATGATATAGTATTTCAGTCTTTATAAATTATTTTGATTGTATTTCAGAAAGGAGAAGGAGAGAGGACTTTGATGATGATGGTATTAACAACCAGGTGTCAGTCCCCATGGCAATGCCAACAACTAGAACAGTTGTCCTTGAACATGGTAAATATTCAAGAGGACCTACGCAAGTTTCAAATTTAGGGTCAAGCTCCTTGACAAGCATTAGACCAAGAAGTCAAGTGAATCAGTACCATGTTTCCAAATCAAGCAAAGGTGACCCAACCAGTGAAACATCACCATTCAGGAGCTACATATTGTCGCAGAGTCTTCTTGACTCGGACCCTTCTACATGGGGAGACCTAAGCACTTTTGAAAATGGTACTGGGCCATCTAAGGGACATGCTTCTACCAAGCTGACTTCTCCAGGAACAAGAGGTATGAAGGAAGGAAAAAATGTACAATTGATCAACATAATAATAATGACTGTTATATTAAGGTCAATTTGATTAATGTAGTGTTAATACAGAGTATTTTTGTTTTAGGTTACAGATTTGATGGTAGTACTCTTGCAGGGTTGCAGTCTGATGGGTAAGCAAGGAAACCCATTCAAAATCTTATTTCTTTAGCAAAAATATATGTTATTTTCATTATTTCCAGGTCTTTGATTCCAATCACCTCACCAGTACTGCAAACAAGATTCAGTACTCCTCCAACTATCCTTAGAAGAGCAAAGAAAAGAAAGGTAAGATTACTTACATAAAATTGCCTCAGTGTTTTTTGGCTATTGCAAACATTTCCTTGCTGTGTGTATTGTGTTCAAAATTGGCATATTTCACTGATGATACAAAGCAGAAAAATCATTAAAGTACTTAACTTTTTTGCAGGCTCCAGAAGAAAATGACTCCTCAGCAAGCCTGTCGACTATCATTCACCAAGAGAGGTCTGACAGCATATTCAGCAGTCCCAAAACCTGTACTCCCATTAAATCACTTCCATTTTCACCATCTCAATTTCTGAACTCTCCTGGCTCAAAGAGAAGGACATCAACACCATCTGAACAGAAAACAACAAGCACTTCAACAACAGTCAATGCAACGCTGAACACACCGACTTTAACTGACACAAATAACAACAACAGTGAAGAGGACTATCGCACACCAAGGATTAGAAGGACATTGTTGCACATGTCTCCAAGAACTCCAACGCCGTTCAAAAATGCTTTGAAGATCCTCAATGAAACTAAAATGGCTCACGTAAGTTTATTTGTACTGGGCTGCCTCTCGTTTGGCTGATGTTCAGGGATTCTGCAAATGCTATTGCATGATTGCTAATTTTGTTTTCTCATTGCAGACTCCAGCTCATTTTGATGAGGACTTTAGTGAAATAATCAAAAAAGAAGCTGAAGAAAGTGGAGTTGACATTTCTTGCTCAGTGGCAAAAGAGCCTGTCAGGAAAGCAAGAGCATCTTTGTGTAAGAGAATGGAGGACAACATGGAGCTGGTTACTCCTGCTTTGTTCAACTGTAGCAATGAAGAGCCTTCCGTTAAAGTAGAGAAATCTATCATGGCACCAAGCACTTCATTAAGCAAGCCTGATGGTCTGGTATGTAGTTATAATTATTTGGTATCAAGGACTTCTCAACAGAGAGGCGCAATTCATTCAGTTTGCAGCTCCATCTAGAAGACGAAACTATTGACCCCGCTTAGGGCTCTCAAGAAAGTGAAAGTCTTATTTTGTTGCAAAATAAAGCAGATTTGATTTCTTTCTTACAAGCTGCCTATAAATGAGATTTCTGTTTGATTTCTAGGATGATTCTGGAATTGCCCAGACGTCATCACTTCTGCTTTCACCCACACAAGACATCATCAAACCAGCTGAGATATTTGGCAAACAAGATCTTTTTGTAACTCCAAGTACCAACCTCAACCATGAGCTGTCTGTAAGTAGCAAGAACATTTTCACTCTCCCAGTAGATCATTCAATGGATTCCAACTGAAGAGACAAGAGTTTTGTGTTTGTCTTAATTGTAATATATGGTGTCCTGTTTTAGCTAATTCTAATATGAAATTAATGATTTTCAGAAGAACAAGAGAAAGAACAACCTCATGAGACCTTTGCAGTTCCAAGAAACCCCAAGAAAAATCCAAAATATAAATGTACGTGTACAAAACATTATAGAAATCTGATTTTTGAAGTTTAGTGCATTATAGTGGATCATCACATCCTCCACAGATTACTGTACATCACTTGACTACTTCATTTGTCATAAATATTAGCATCTGAAATGCAACTTCATTGAATGCTGGTGGACCATGTCACTTTAACATGTTTTTTGTTTTTCAGATGGACACCACTTGGGAGCAAGTGGCATGTGGCAAAACACCAGACCAACAATTTGTCACAGAACAAGCAAAGAATTTTATTGCAAGTTACAGACCAGCAGCAAGAACGCTGCATTTCAATGCACCCACAATGGCATAAAAATGTATTAAAAAGGTTAACAATACTTATGGTTTTGCTAAAGCTTTCCTTATTTGTTTCACAACATTTTGCTTTTGATCTATCATACTTTAGTTGCTCAGATGACTTTTTATATCTACTGTAAGAAACAGATTATTTTGAAGATTTTGTATTGGATTTACCGCAACATGTATGAGACATAAAGCATGATTGAAACAAAGCCAGCTACAGGTGCAGGTGTTGCTTGGAAACCATAAGTATTGGGAGGATTAAAGCTAACCAGCTTTTCTCCAATGAATTGTATCAAATTATTGTATCATAGACATGTGTTTTTTTGTTGTACTTTAAGTATTTTACCAAAAAAAATGTCAGCTAAAACACAATGAAAACTACACAAATAATAATTTATTAATCTCTCTATAGATGATTGGTGCTTTTTTACTATAAAATACTATAAAATCAAAGTATATTCATCATGAATTTGAATATAAGCAAAAGTATTTTTGGAGTACCTTAAATGGTCAATATTGCAGTTGTAGATGTTTGTTTTACAGCAAAATACAATGTATGTTTTTTTTTCTTTTCGTGATTCAAACTTTGGTTGGATGTTTAACCTCTTATCCACATATTTTCACTACTAAACTTATAATGTATAGAGTTACGTGTAAGAGTTAGGAGGTTGTATTTGATATACTTTTATGATGGATTGCTATATTGCCATGGCAATACACCATTTCGCGGATAATTCGAAACTTTACATTACGTTGTTATGGTAAATCATTGACATCACTGGAAAGAGCTTCATAAAATCAGCAAATATGCCAAGTTTGAAAATAATCTGATTTAAATTCAAAGASATATGTCACTTCAAAAACACTAAATTTTGCATAGAAATGTTTGGCKAGGTTGTAACAAGTCAAGGTCAACCTCGATCTCATGCYRACAGCCCATASATTTCTTTGTAAATTTTGCCGAATTTTAAACGCTGTATCTCCTTGAATTTTCATCGAATCATGCTCAAACCTGGTAAACATACTAATTTTATACTGTTCTTTCCAGTGGTGGTAATAGTTTTCCAATATTTGTTCAATTTCTAATAGCTGTGTTATCCGCGAAGTGGACTATTGTAAGAATGAAGAAACCTGTACAGTAAGCAAAAAGTATAAAGGATAAGGACATCGTTTTTATAAGTGTTTCATGGTGGTGAAGTTTGTGTTTTTAAAGATTATTTTTCTTTTATAAATTAGAGCATTTAGCAGTAATATTAAGTTGAATTTGCTATAATTTGAGGGAACACTCTAAAAGCATGACATACATATCTAAATTAATTGTCAAGTGATTGTGCATATGTATGTATGTGCATGTTTGTCAAAGATATGTGCTAGCTGTTGCTTTCCCTCAATATGATGCTATATTTTACATTTGGTTTTATTTTAATAACTTAGTAAAGATGCTAAGTATCTGCATTCACTAAGTTACCATATGCTATGTACATGTAGCATCTAGAGGTGGTTGTTTCTGGTATAAGTTGAATGGAGTATTGAACTACCAACAATCACTACTCCAGGGGCTACTTCTGTAGTTAACTGGTTGTACATACAAACTCAGTCACCTTAATAAGACATATTTGAGTGTGAAAAGCAATCACAAAAAGAAGCACGGTTGTTTACATACAAGTGTGCTTCTAAGTACAAATCAATGATAAATTTTCACTACCATGTAGTTGAAAGCTTCAGTTTTATCCAAAGACATTATATTGTTTGATTGGTGTGAAGTACCGCAACATATTCATATATAAACAAGGGGGTTTCTATCTTGTAAATATAAATTTTTATAATCAAATAAAGCTAGAATTAGACAAATGTATTAGTACTCTTGAATTTTACAGCTGCCAGTGCAATCTTGAAATGTAATGTCCTGCTTTGATCACTTTGTGTTGTACTGAACTCAAACAGCAAGCAAAGCCAATGCAGTCCAGGGTAGGAGTCAAGGTGTTGTAGTTGAACAATGAAAATAAGCAGCATTCATGAAAAAACAACTGATCAAATTCACGTCAAAATCGGTTACCAGATCTTCTAAAAAGACCATGAATAAGTGACAGAAGCGCATGTAAAATGACAGGGAAAGCATGAGTATAGTGCTTCAATTCTCTTCACTTTTCTCAGTGCTTGTTGAGGGGTGGGGGGGGGGGGGGGAGTGTAAGATTAAAAAAAAAAATCAGCTAAGCCCGAAGTGCCGAAAAAATTCCTGCAAGGCAAAATGGATCGCGCTTACCTGTGCTTTTCCATTTTCGGATTTCATAAGAAAATGCAGCCTGAGAAAATGAATGTATCCTGAATAAATAGAACAGAGTTATCAACCAATCACAACGTGCGCTCACTAAAAATCTATTGCATAGTACCCAGTCTTTCTCCATCCTTCTAGGAACGCCTTGTTCATTATATATGCACATTCCAGCTGTGTCTGAACGTCTCCTTGTGCTTTATTTAATGATTTCAATCAAACTAATCTTAATTTTGACACTATTAGAAAAAATACGGCCATTATTACTAACCCTCGATAAAAATGAACTACGCCGAAGAAGATCGGAAAAGATTTGACGCTGCTTTTACTAGAATAGTTGATGATGTTGTCTCTAATGAAGGCCACGATAAGGAAATTAAGGATGCTGTCTTGAAACTACGACAGGTATTGCTTATATTTGTTTGCCAATTCATGGAAATATCCATTCCTGAACATCAAAATTAAATAATGCTTTCATTGCTCTTTACACTGTGGAAATTACAACACATGAATAGCACCAAATTTCCATTGGAATTCCTAGTTTTGTTGTCGTTTTATTGTAAAATGGCTATGTATCAATACCAATTCAAGGTTATTGTTATTAAGTTCATCCATTTCTAAGTTTGAGTCAAGTCATTTATTGAGTCATTTTAATGATATTCTTTAATGTTTTCCTGGACGTAAAAGATGTCTGAGATCACTATCTAAGTGTTTCAAATCGGATCTCCCTACACTGCTAGGGATGATTTTGAAAAAAAATATCCTGCAAGCCATCTTCACCAAAAATAAAAATCGTGCACAACATATGGACCTAAAAAAAAATCTTGCACCACCCTAAGTCCCCAAAAAATGTTACATACAAGAAGAAAAAAAATCCTACATACCACCAAGAGAAAAAATATATATCCTACCCAAAAGCCACGAAGAAAAAAAAAATCTTGCTCACAAGAAATCATCMAYCCCCCCCCCCCCCCCCCCCCCTCCCCCCTCAAAAGTTAAATGGGCCGTCCCTAATAGGCCTCAGTCTGATAAACCAATAAAGTGGTCTCAATTCTTTCTTTCTTTCTTTATTTATCTCATAGGTCCTGGAGTACAATGTACCAGGAGGTAATAAATATCAATAAATCTATATAATCTATTCCTATAAATAATAAATACCGTATTTACCCATGTATAAGCCGCACTTTTTTTCCAAAAAAATCGTTCCCAAAACGGGGGTGCGGCTTATCTACGACAAGACTTGTAAAAATGCCCAATAAAAACTAATTTGCATAAATTAGCATTCACGGTGCTACTTATTGCAGACAGGACTGTGTTCGCAAGTGGCGATCAAAAAGAGAAAAGTTTATTTTTCCCCTTTTATTTTTCCTCAAAAACGTTCCTAAAACTCGGGGTGCGGCTTATCTACGAGAGCGGCTTATACATGGGTAAATACGGTATTGATTCATGGTTCATTTTAGCTGATCAGAGTGTGGATCAATAATGGTATTAAGTTCATATTCATATTTCCTTATTCAAAATCTCCAACTATTTTGTTCAAGGAATTTGCTTTCCAATGATAGGAAGGATTCAATTAAAATAATTTCCATCTTGTATGCATGGTTATTTTTTTAGGGAAAAGGAACCGTGGTCTGTCAGTAATAGGCTCGATTAGACATTTATTAAATGAAGAGGATGTTACTGAAGATGTAATCAATATTGCAATACTTTTAGGCTGGTGTGTGGAATGGGTGAGTCTCTTGTACCCTGCCTCTTGAACTATCAGACTATGTTGATTTAATTAAAAGATTTTTTTTTTAATTGTACATAGTGTTATAGTGTTATTGCAAATGTTGAACGCACAGTTAGTTTTTATAACAAACCATTTTCCAGTTCCAGGCATTTTTCCTGGTAGCTGATGATATTATGGACCAGTCACTGACCAGGCGAGGGCAACCATGTTGGTACAAAAAGGTAAATAAAGCTTGTTTTGTTGCTAGAGCTTTGCTTTAGCTCTAGGATATTTTATAAAGTGGCATTTAAGCCTATAGGCTGGCATATATCAGACACACAATTGTAATGAACCTGATGCTTAATGAATCATATTATCCTTTTGTTTGTTGATATGTTTATAATACAATGTTATGATCTTTCAGCCTGATGTTGGATTGATTGCTGTCAATGATTGTATTATGATGGAGCAAACTGTTTTTGATCTTCTTAAAAAACATATCAGACACAAAGACTATTATCTTGATGTTGTAGAGCTCTTCCATGAGGTATGAACTTGCTAAGTAACATAGTAAGACTTAGAAAACATAGAAAAAACTTTACATAAAAAAGGTTTTGGAGCTCATAAGCACCTTCAAGATACCACATGAGGATTGATGTACACTTCCCTGATAGCAACCATCCATCCCTGGTCAACTACCTGGCACCAGTCACATTGACGCCTGCCAGTGGAGATGCTTGGCATATGGTTTCCAGGAAGTTGCATGTGCTAGATCAGTAAATTAAATGGACATGTTCACTTTGATCCACACATCAAACAAGCAAGCAAGCAAGTCCTGCTGCTAAGCTGGAAGCTGCCAAACTTACTTGAAGGAATTTTCCTGATGGAATTTGTTTGATTTTAGGTTGCATATCTTACTTCACTTGGTCAATCAATGGATTTAATCACCAAACCTGGTAAAGCTTTTGAAAATTTCACTCTGGACAGGTACAGTATAAAGTTGTTTGACATGTTATCATTTCCAGAATAATTTTGTTGTGTTTTAATTTACTTTTTATACATGGTTCTTTCAGATATAAAACTATTGTAAAATACAAAACAGCTTTCTACTCCTTCTACCTTCCTGTTGCACTAGCATTGTACATGGTAGGCACCATTTTTGTTGTTGCTGCTGTTGTTGTTGTTGTTGCTGCTGCTGCTGCTGCTGTTGTTGTTGTTGTTGCTGTTGTTGTTGTTACTGCCGTTATTGTTGATGCTGTTTTAGTTGTTGTTATTGCTGCTATTGTTGTTGTTGCTGTTGTTGCTGCTACTGTTGTTGTTGCTGCTGTTGTTGTTGTTGCTGCTGTTGTTGCTGTTGTTGCTGCTGCTGTTGTTGTTACTGTCGTTATTGTTGATGCTGTTTTAGTTGACTGTTGTTGTTGCTGCAGTTGTTGTTGCTGCTGCTGTTGTAGTTGYTGCTGTTGATGTTGCTGCTGCTGTTGGTGCATCAAGTGTTTTACCTCTTATAGTAGACTTAACACAAAGGTGTTGATATTTCAGGCTGGTATTACTGACAAGGAAACACATGAAAACGCCAAGACAATTTTATTGGAAATGGGAGAGTTTTTCCAAATTCAGGTACCAGTCATCACCATCCTCGATTGAGCCTGACATTTTAATCTATTTATTAGCTAATGATAGCTTCATATGGCAATTTTATTTATTAGGATGATTTTCTGGACGCATTTGGGGACCCAGCCATTACTGGAAAAGTTGGTACTGATATTGAAGAAAATAAGTGTACCTGGTTGATTGTAAAGGCATTAGAAAAAGCTACTCCACAGCAACTTAGTGTGATTAAGGTACATGGATGCATTGTCTCTGTTGGCTGGATAAATGAGGTTTTACTGTTTGCAAAGTTATGAAAATTCCTTCCCAATTCCAGGAAAACTATGGTATCAATGACAAGGAAGCATCCTCTAAGGTAAAAGACATTTACAAGGATCTTAATCTGGAAAAGGTGTTCCGTGACTATGAAGAAACCAGCCATGAGAGAATGATACAACTAATATTAGAAAAATCACAAAAGATTCCAAAAGCAGTGTTTTTGGAATTTGTTCAAAAAATATACAAGCGCAAGAAGTAAAATACATGATATTTAAAATTTGATAAAAAAATTGATAACAATGTGAAGTGTCCTTGAATATACGTACTGCGAAATTGTAATTTGCAGTGATAAGGGTCCTCTTTGAAGTAAAGTTCAATACAGTAACTAGACAGTAGACAAAGTAAAAAATGCAGTGCTTTCTCCAAAAAAGAGATCTTATTACTTTTGAACGAGAAGACAGTCAAAGGTTAACAGCTCCCAGTAAACATGGCTTGAGTCCACTCTTGGACAAGGTAATGGCAACATTTTATAAATTATTTAATTTTTTAATTATAGGAAATAATTAAATTGTGAGCAAAGAATTGTATAATAATAAAATTGTGATATTTGAAATTAAAAACCATAAAATCGCAATGTATTTTTGCTTGTAAAGGTAATTTTGGGCTGGGCTCCCTGTGTCATTCCTGTAAGTTACACAGGGGCCCAAATTCAAGACAGATTTGAGAGAGGRTTTTATATGGTCTTTTAGAGAAAAGTTTTAAAATGTTTTACTATATTGCGTTTGCATGCTGCATTTGAAGTCGAGTTTGCCGTGAAAATATGGAAATTCGATCGGCATAAATTTTGAGTCACGTGATAAATCCAAAGCGCGCGCGTGAAAAGATACATTGGGAAGAAGAGTTCGCTGTGCTCGAAAAATCAAGGAAAACTCTCGTGAACTAGAAACGGTACGTATTACAAATCATAATACATTCTGTTATTAGTAGTAGCAGTGGTAGGAATCAGAATTAGATGGAAAATATTCGTTATTTTGAAGAAATCCATGAGTAATGCTTACACTACTACTCGTGGTGCGGTGTCACGTGAAGCTTGAATAAGTTGGATTTAAAAATCACATAGCCAACCAGCAGCCGAACCAAAACTGTCTAAAATCGCAGAGCTTTCCAAAGAATGTTTTGAGTGAAGTCAAGCACAACCCATGAAACAAAATACAAGATCATCCATCAAAGCCATGCAGAGTGACAAACATGATTGTTTTTACATGTTTTCGGATTCTATAAGCTCAAATTTTCATTTAAGGATACTCAGTTTGAATAATATGCTAAACAAATTTACATTGATTTTAATTTACATGCCCACTCTGTTTACCACAAACCCGTGAAACGTCGCAATTAAAAATAGTGCAAAATACTTTGGTAACTTATGCTAATTTATTACATTAGAGTCATCTTCATCCATCTGTGAAATAGGAATTGCACTATTAAATACTATGTGACAAACTAATTAGTCAAACAAGGTGTTGATTTTGCCTTTTGGTAGCCTACTACACCCTAATAGTTACTATTAAACACTGACTAGTAGTAATTGTTTCACAGACAGATGAAAATGACTGTAATTTGTTTCTATTGTCTTATTGACGTTTTATTTGTTTCACAGATTGAGTATATCTACTCTAATATCAATACAGTTATACACAAATTATACATAAATTGTGGAAATGTCAGACACATCAAGTCTAAGACGTAATCTTGAGGAGCAAGTCACTTGTGCAATCTGTCATGAGCATTACAGAGATCCACGACTGTTGCCATGTTTACATACCTACTGTAAACAATGCTTGGATGATCTTGTCAAGGCATTGCACAGCAAAGAACAGATTGTGTGTCCTGAATGCAGAGAAGTTGTTAAGGTATAATTGATAGCAGTTTTTCAGGTCGATTGGTGTTACTAAGTGAGGGTAGGGTTGGGAGACAAGGGTGCTTGTCACCTCAGAGCTTGTTCCATGCCTCGGTGTTTTTGTCCAATCTCACCCAACTCCAAACACTCTGCAGGATTTCTGAGGATGCTGAGTATCGCTAAGCTTTTCATTTGTAATTATTATTATTAATGATTAATTTATCTGTCGATCAATCTAATCAATCTTTTGATTTGTTTCTAGTTGGGTCCAAGTGGAACGAATCAACTTAAAGTTCATTTTCAAATGAACCAACTGATGTCGCTGTTGACCATCTCAGATCCTGTAGAAAAAGAACCAAAATCAGATTTGATATGTGAAAATTGTACAAGCAAAGATGCCTCTAAAGGAAGATGCTTTGAATGTTGCAAGTTCATGTGCGACTTTTGCTTGAAAACCCACCAGCGTTTCCTGGAAACCAGAGACCACAAGATCATGACACTTGAAGAAGTCAAGAAACAAGGTGCTCCAGCTATGACACAACAAGTTAAATGTGAGAAACACAAAGGCGAAGTCCAAAAGCTTTACTGTGAATCCTGTCAGCAGTTGATTTGTCGTGACTGCACCATCATTGACCATCGTGATCACCAGTTTCAGTTTATAGATGACGTGGCCAGTACACATGCAAAAAACCTCAGATCTGACATTAAGAAAGCTACCGTAACCAAAGATCGTGTTCACTATTCATTGGGTAAAATACAAAAGACAAAAATGAGAATCAAGTCCAAAGCTGAGAAGATGAAGAAAGATGTTGATAAGTCAATTGATCAGAAAATTGAAATTTTAGAAGAGCATCGAAAAAGTCTTAAAAAAGAGGTCGATGCAAAAACAATCTCTAAGATCAAAAAACTTGACAAACAAGAGATGGAACTGCTGAGAAATATAAAGAATTTGAAAAGTGCTATTGAATTTACAGAGAGTGCTCTAAAAAGTACAAATATAAGCATTCTGTCATTGTCATCAGAAGCCAGTTCTCGATTGAAATCATTAATAAGTGTGCGGCTCAAGGATAAACCCTGTGAATATGATACGTTGATGTTTCTAGAGATTGACCAGAGATTCCAGGAAATTGTCAAGCAAATGATGCAAATTTTTGAAGGTTATGAGCACAGGTCTCGCACAGCAACACCTTGCATCCATGCTGTTTATCCTGCTCATGGTCCACAAGGGTAAAAACAGCAGCAGAACTCACCAATAGCTGGTATATCTTCTGTCTGAAGTGTATTGTTGATATGTCAGGATATAGTAATATGATGGTAGACTAATGTGATCACTAATATGGATTTTAGTCATATATAACTCAATAATCTCCTCTGTTCTTAATGGTGAAGCGTTGCCCACGTGCATGCGGGATATATAGTCATGCCGCGGAGCGGTATTATCGGAAACTTTTGTTGTTAAATAATAAAAAACAACAGAAGTTAACAGTGTCAGCGTCAATCTCGGGGATTATGCTGTGATAGTTCCCCTTTAAACTGTATTCATTCTTAAGGCTGATTTACACGGCACGATTGTCTCGTGCGAYTTGTAGTATACGACTTGAATCGCGCAGTSTAAATGCCCCTACGACTTGTCTASAACAGTCGTMCGCAACCTACGACTTGTAGTAGGGTTTTGAACCACTGCTTAAAATCCTACGACTTGTAGTAGGAAAATCGTATACTACAAGTCGCRCGCGACAAATCGTACCGTGTAAATCAGCTTTTAGGCAACAATATATTTTTTGGAACGCCCAGCTTCCGTTGGCRATCATAACAGTATGATGCCCTCGATATTGACCATTCTCAAAATTTCTGAAATGTATTGTTGATCGTTATATCGCCGTTCAAAGGGAGTTTTCACGGTTTTAGGGTTACCGTTTCTGTATAATCAAAAACTTCAATTGAAAAAGCAATTAAGTGTAGAAACCGCGTCATTTTAATTTTCACTGCAACAATGCATCGCGGTCTTGGGATGCGGTATCATCCTTTTCAGTATGCATGATTTCCTTGTTCCWCGAATTATAACAATGCATCYAGAGAAGTCCCGCAGAGCGAGCTGGAAACACATCGTATTTGTTGTTAAAATCAAGGAAAACTTCAAAAAAGCACAGTAAGTATAAAAGAACATTAATATATCATAACTNGCACACATAATATAAGCCGAGAGTTCATATCGATCCCTTTTTTACCGGATTTTTTTGTAGGATTTGTGACGCCGAGCTCAAGTGAAGAAATAAAACTTTGTAACGTCTTTGTTTTGTTTAAAGCTTACCATGGCATCAAGTCTGAGACGCAATCTTGAGGACCAGGTTACTTGCGCAATCTGTCATGAGCACTACAGAGACCCACGACTGTTGCCATGCTTACATACCTACTGTAAACAATGCTTGGATGATCTTGTCAAAGCATCGCGAAATAAGAAACAGATTGCATGCCCTGAATGCAGAGAAGTTGTCAAGGTCAGCATTTTAGCTAAAAACAAGTTAGATAGGGTCAGTTCCCTAGGTAGAAGACTTTATTCAATTCACTTAACTTGTTTGCGCTGCGCAAGAAAATGCTTTCAAATAGACCACATGAAAAAGGGTGTGGCTTTCGTAACGCCATATATTATGAGAGCTACAATATAGCATGACGACTCGTTGGAAGAACATATTATAATGAGTAAGATCTGATAAGTCTGTTGGTCATACATTTAAGGACCAGAAATTACAGATGTTTAAAATTGGAAAAGTTTTTAGTGAAAATCAGTATTGAGGCCTTACCAGCCTCGTTTTCACGTTTTTCGCACATCACAAATGCTCGTTGCTCTGCTGATATTCAACATTAGAGAAAAAAATCCTTACTTTACTAGTTTAGATATACTGTTTCTAATAGTGTAAACAGATTTTTAAAAGTCTTCTGCCGGCTCTCTTTTTCATATGGTCATTTGCTTAAAAGCCCGCATAAATGGGCTATTTACCGGTACCATTATTATGCATCCTTCACATCAAAGTTTGATGTTTGTCTCCCCTAAACTATCCTTTTCATTTATAGGGAATTGCACATATGTGAATAGTTCTTTTAAAAATACATTAGTCAGCCCTTTTTTCATACTATTTCTAGCTTGGTCAGTCCCATTGGAACGGGTCAACTTAAAGCTAATTTCCAGATGAACCAACTGATGTCGCTCCTTACCATCTCTACTCGTGAAGAAACAAAAAGCAAGGAGGAAGCAAAGGGCCCAGGTTTGCCGTGTGAAAATTGTACAAGCAAAGATGCCTCTAAAGGAAGATGCTTTGAATGTTGCAAGTTCATGTGCGACTTTTGCTTGAAAACCCACCAGCGTTTCCTGGAAACCAGAGACCACAAGATCATGACACTTGAAGAAGTCAAGAAACAAGGTGCTCCAGCCATGACACAACAAGTTAAATGTGAGAAACACAAAGGCGAAGTCAAAAAACTTTACTGTGAATCCTGTCAGCAGTTGATTTGTCGTGACTGCACCATCATCGACCATCGTGATCACAAGTTTCAGTTTATAGATGAAGTGGCTGGCAGACATGTCAAAAATCTCAAATCAGATATAGAGAACGCTACAGCAGTGAAAGATCGCATCCAGCAATCTCTGGAGGAAATAAAAACGACCAAATTCAATATAAACGTCACAGCTGTGCAAATGGGAAAAGATGTTGATAAGGCGATAGATCAGAAAATTCAAAGTTTGGAACAGCAACGAAAAGCTCTTAAGAAAGAGGTTGAGGCAAAGACAAATGTTAAAATTGGAAATCTCGAAAAGCAAGAGAATGACATTCTAACAAAGATGAAAAATTTGAAAAGTGCAATTGATTTTACAGAAAACGCTCTTCAAAGCACAAACGTGAATATTTTGTCATTGTCATCAGAAGCCGGTTCTCGATTGAAATCATTAACCCGCATCCAGTTCAAAGGCCAACCTTGTGAAAAAGATACATTGTTTTTTCAAGATGATGACCAGAAATTTCAGAACATTTTGAAAAGTATGATGAAAGTTCTTGAAAATAAGAATCAGTATGACGCTGGACACCAACCTGGACGACCTGGAAATTATGGCTACTTGCGCCATTACTACGGTAATGAGTGATGTTCAAGGAATATGATTCATTGATACTTCTAGAGATTGACCAGAGATTCCAGGAAATTGTCCAACATATGATGCAAATTTTAGAAGGCTACTAGCACACGTCTCGCACAGCAACACCTCGCATCCATGCTGTTTATCCTGCTCATGGTACACAGGGGCAAAACCAGCAGTAGAACTCACCAATAGCTGGTATATCTTCTGTCTGAAGTGCATTGTTGATTTTTCTCGATATAGTAATATGATGGTTACCCATTGTGGTCGCTAATGATTTCAAGTAAAAGAAGATATCTGAAAAGACCTTAGTACTTTAGTGTTCAATCAATTTGTACGGGTTGTTGTTAGCCTGCGTATCGGCCCTAAGGGGATTGGGGAGGGCTTTAAGCTAGCGGGGAGTGGGGAGGAAAAATAGGAAGAGCCTTCCTATTTTTCCTCCCCAATCCCCGTTCGGCCAGCCCTCCCCAATCCCCTTGGGGCCGCTACGCATGTTGTTTTTGGTGTTGTATATTTTTTTGCTAAGTAACAAAACAAAAGCAAAATAGATATCTACTGTAAAAGGTAGAAGAATTCTAGACAGAAAAGATGTTATGTTGTTGCAGTATTGTGTCCTTTGACTCACGGGGCCGGATTGTTTAAAGCTCGGCCCAGGGGAGTAAGCTGCACTTACTGCACTGATTTTCATTTGAGCATATTAATATTCAATAGAAATGTACATGTATTATAAGTAGTCACTCTGAGAAATGTAATTTTTAATAATATATAAATTGAAGAAAGAGTTGTGCTTGAGTGGATGTTCTTTTGTAATTCAGTTTATTGTACATGTTTTTCTCTTTATCACAAAGTGTGGATAAAGTTATCCACTTCATAGATTTTGCATTTGTATTTTATCCACTGGATAAGGACGTTTCTGGTGGATAATGTTACTGTTACTCTTTCGTGCTTATTAAAATTTGGGATCCCTGTTTCGTTCATGGAGATACCCGGAAGTACGTCATTGCAATTTAAATTATGCATCTTTCCCCGAATTACCTTAACAATGTACCATGCACAGATCGAGAAAGAAAGACCTTTCTTCGAATGGTTAGAAAATCTAGGAAAAAAACTGTAAAAAGCCTTGTCAACTAACCTGCAGTAAGTATTAGAAATAGTATATATTTCATTCTGGTGATATCTTATCAGAGACAGGCGTCAGATATCAAATATAGCGTTGAAAAAGAAGTTTGAGTTTATCAACCGTGTAAATC